CTCTAATTTCCAAGTCAAGGTGCTGTGCATTGTGGTGATTGATGTGATATGATGTCACTTCCAAAGGACCAATGAACATGTCTGACTAATTTCATAGAATGTGAAAACGAATCTCATTGGCACAATGAATAACATTTTAATTAAACTGGGATTCAGCGCAATTCAATTGGTTTGTTAGCAAGGGAAAATAGAATGAAGTGATCTCCAAAAATGAGTATTTTAAAATGATTTACTTTTTGACTGTAAATAAAATTGTAAGGAGTAAAAAGTACTTTTTTTTTCCTTTAAAAATGTAATTAAGTAAAAGTAAAAGTATTCATTTTTAATTGCACTCAAGTAAAGTAAAAATCCCCAAAAATAATACTTAAGTACAGTAATCAAGTAAAATTACTCAAGTACAGGCTAAAAGTAAATGTATACATACTCTAAGATTATTATCCACGTCGGCACTAATGATGTCCGATTGAGGCAATCGGAGATCACGAAGTCAAATTTTATAGAGGTGTGCAACCTTGCGAAGAAGATGTGTGTCTCAGTAACGTGCTCTGGCCCCATCCCTGCTAGACGTGGCGATGAAATGTACAGCAGATTATCGTCGCTACATCGCTGGCTGTCGGAATGGTGCCCGATAAATGGTGTGGGTTATATAGACAACTGGCGGATGTTTTGGGGTAGGCCTGGGCTTTTGAAGAGGGACGGTATTCAGCCCTCGCGGGCTGGTGCTGACCTCTTGTCTAAAAGCATAGCTCATAGTCTCCAGGCAAAGCGCTGACTAACTAGAGCCAAGCCCAGGCGGCAGGCAAAACGGCCTAACCGACCGCCTGCTAGTCGCCTAGAGTCGTCACCTAGGGTTCATTTTATTGAGACTGTGTCTGTTCCCCGCGTTTTTAATCATGGAAGCCGATTCCACCGTAGTGTGTGCCATAATAACTTAATTAAAATTACAATGAATCCGCTACTAGAAAACAGCTGTGATGCAGGGCTTAAACTTGGACTTCTGAATGTAAGATCACTGGCTCCTAAGGCACTATTAATAAATGAAATAATTACTGATTTTAGTCTTGGTGCCCTATGCCTCACGGAGACCTGGCTTAAACGGAATGAATTCATGGCACTAAATGAATCTACTCCAGCTGAATACAGTTATAAGCATAACCCTCGACCAAATCGCAAAGGTGGTGGTGTTGCTGCAATTTTTCAATCCAGCCTAGGAGTGACTGAGAAATGTGGTCTGAGTTTCAGCACATTTGAAACTCTTGTTCTTAGTCTTGCTGGCTCATCTCTTTCTTGCTCTTCACCCCAAATCACCATTGTTATTGTTTATAGACCCCCTGGGCTGTACAGTAATTTTCTTAAGGAAAGTGATAATGCGCTATACAAAAATAAATTTGTTTAATGAGCGTTAAATGATTCACACCAGCAAAATGCACATTATTGATGGAGTAATGGGCTAAAAACCTGGAAACGCACATCAGCTCTGCCTCACTATATTCACTTTTCATTTTTTCCTCTAAATGGGTTTATTACAGACAATAGATTTTTCCATTCAATTCCACACAAATTGTATACTGCATTTTCACAACATTGCATTGTCTCAAAGCACTTTACATTATCCCTGCCCAAAGCCCTACAGTGAGCAAGCCAGAGGCGAGAGTGGCAAGGAAAAACTCCCTAGAAGGAAGAAACCTAGTGAGGAACCAGACTCAAAGGGGGGATCCCATCCTCCAGGGGCTGGCAGAGGGAGTCAGGTGAACAAGATAGCAAAATCCTAATTTATGCAGCCCAAATTTCAAGATTCAAGTGATCGATTGTTGGTAGTCAGTGTCACAGTATTGTTTATCTCAGGTTGCATTTGTTTGGTTTTGTTAAGCTGAAACTTATCTTCTAACCCTGACTTAATTAAACTTACCTTGTGATTCAGGGCCCAAGCAAGGCACCAATAAGTGTGTAGCCAGTAAAGCTGTTGAGGGATAATTAGTGTTAAACATCCATCCATCCATCCATCCATTATCTATACTGCTTAATCCATCTGGGTCGCGGGGAAGCTGGAGCCAATCCCAGCATCTTCAGGTGAGAGGCAGGGTACACCTTGGGCAGGTCGCCAGTCCACCACAGAGTGTTCAATATCTTCTGGATTCATTTATGAATCCAAAGTGTCGGAAGGGTGTCCTCCCTGTTTGATATGAGTGGTGATACCTGACATGGAAATCTCTCTGTAGGGCTGTCAATAGATTCATTTCCCTGGTACAGAAAAGAGAAACTGAACAAGACAGCTGGAGGTGTTACGTGACTATGCTGGCCATATTTATCCATCTTTTTCTTTAAAAAAAGTTTTGAAATGTTTTAGCATTGAATCACGAAAAATTGTAAAAATGTATGCATGAAAGTGCATTGCATTCACAAAAGAAAAAAACTATTTGATCTCAAAAAGATTTCATAATTATAAGGTCAGGATCTCATAATTATGCCAAAAGTTAAGCTATTGCCTAGTTATCAGTTGGCGCTAACCTGGGCTACAGGACAAGACAGTGGGCAGTGATGGTACTGTATGACAAATGCATAAACAAATGCATAAGAGAGTACAGAGGTAAATCAGAGCAGAGAAGGACCGTTTCTTTATTTTTTCAGATTTGCTCCAAAGGGATACTTACAACCATTCAGTTTCTTAGTCTCCGCCTGAGAGCAGAGGCAGCGATTTGGGGCCTGACAGATACACAGCGGTTTTAGAACAGCAGAGATGGTGCTTAGAGCATGCTAGTATGACACAGATGCACCTTCAGTCCTTTGATTTATCTTTTGTCCTTATTACCACTGTCGAATGAGAAGGTTCTATGTGATAAGCGCAGTTATACTGCCTAGATATAAGACCCAGATGTGACATTGCAACTGCTGGTTTTAAGTTCCTTTTATGCTGCTACAAACATAGGCCAATTTGTACGATTACAAAAGTGCACAAGGGTTAAGTTCAGTAGTGATACATGTGTACTACGTAACTGAGAATAGTTCAATAAAGTCTACTAAAGTAGACTTTGATAAACAGAATAGTTTGGAATTCAGAATCAAAATAGTTGATTTTGGGTTATTCTGTAGCAGCTCCTGCAGAGTATCGTGTTGGGGATACAAAGCTCATTGGTTCAAATCCCAGGAGATGTGCATGAATTGTAACCCTGCTCTCTACTTTAAGTTGATTTGGACAGAACGTGTCAGATAAAATGAATGGACTGTATTTGCTCATCATTCAGCGACGCCATGAAAATGCTATATGTCAGTGTTAGTGAAGTCAACAGTTCTGTATGCCAGGACAGGGTGGTATGTGTGACTTACTCCTAGTCTGTTTGCATGAAACTTTTTAAGAAAAAGAATCTAATGAGTAATCAGCATCATATTGTACACATATGAATAGCCCCACAACCCTGACTAGAGTAAGTCGTAAGAAGATGGGTGTACAAATAGCTCTCAAGACATTGCAAATTTATAGCGTATAATTTGATTTCATGGTGAGGTGTCCCGCATGCATTTATGCCTGTCTGCTTAACACAGAGAAACACTAAGCTTCAAAAATCAGTATTACAGCCCATCTCAGCAAGTAACTGCCCCCTCATTACCATGACAACCAGCCTAATTCTTCTTTCCCAGTTGTTTAGTGTTCACTGTCCCGCCGTGGGATGGACGGCTCCCCGACGGGCCATTCCATCTCGATGAATCTCAGGGGGCCCTTGGTGATTTCGCACGGCCCCTTCGCCTTGAAGCCGAACCGGAGATAGTAGGGCACCAGGAAATCCTCGCACATGAGAGTGGCACTCCGCACATGTGGCAGCCCTTGTAAGTACTGTAGATAGCGCCAGAACAGCACAGAGCCCTTGCCCTTCTTCCGGAAGGCCTGGTGCACTGCCAGGACGTGAATGTGCACTACTGTGCCGTGGGGCTTGTGCAGCACCATCGCCTCCTGCAGGTGGGAGGACTTCATAATCATGACTTAGAAACCACAAATAAGCTAGCAAAAGGTGGCTAAGCTAGACACATAAGTAAAATGATCCTGGTTCAATTAGACTCATCTACATTCTCCATTCATGTTCTTTTGAAACTCCTACAGTTGAAGCAAGTAATATTTCTGCTTGAGTACATTTCCAATCATTTTCTGTGCCCGCAAACCACTGCACCACTGCGCTACCCTGCAGTACATTTCTGGAATCCTAAATCAAACTGAGGCTGATTTAAGCGACTCCCTAAATGCAGAGAGCACACTGCCGCAAACCACGGTCCGTAACAGAAACACGCCATACCGTGGTTAGCTTCTCCTGGTCCCACAAAGAGCCTATGACGAAGGCTACCAGGCGACCCTCCATAAACCATCCCAGGGAGAGCTCAGGGCATACAGTGAGGAAGTGCTGCACCTCATGCAGGAGCAGCGGGCATTCTCCCGTCACAGAGATGAAGGCTGAGATAAAAGAGAATACGTTACTGTTAGAGGAACATGCCTGCAGAATTGCTCCTTTACGTTGAGCGGCATCAATTTAAGTCATGACTGAAAAAGGAATCAAGGTGAGATACTGAAATATCACAGGACATTTTTGACCAGTATCAACCTGAAATGTATACTCTAGTATTACTTCCAGGGTGTACCACAGCCTTGTGCCCAGTGCTTCCAGGGATCGGATACAACACCCACCCCCCCCCCCCCCCCGCCCAAATAATCCTGAGTAGAATTAGCAGTCTGAAGATGGATGGATGGAATGCATGAAAAAAAATGTCACAAATAATGAGAAAGTAATATGCAGAACAATTTCACTGTAAAATGCACGGCATTTTCATCAAATGTATGCAAATTGTCCATACATCCATTTTCTGTACCCACTTCTATCCGGAGTTGCAGGGGGTCCGGAGCCTATCCCAAAACCTATAGGTGCAAGGCAGGGAACAAACCAGCGCGCGCACACACACACGCACACGCACACGCACACACGCACGCACACACGAATGGTCCCAGAGATGTGAGAGAACACTGCTAACCACTGCATCACCCTTCAATGTTACTGTTTTTTCTAAAATTCACTGTATAATAATGACAGTATTTTTGTTTTTTTTTTATTGGCGGCAGGTTTATTTTATACCAGGTGAGCCATTTGTACTCTATGTAAGCAGGATTAAACAGGAGGGAGTTCTGGGCAGCTCACCTTCCTGTTCGATCTGGAACACGCTGAGGGCGTCCTGCAGGCCGAGGCTGCGGAACTCGCTGGCCGGCAGGGTGTGGTGGTGGTGGAGGCTGGGCGAGGCGTCAGGCGGCGGCTGCGCGGGTGCGAGCAGGGGCGCGGTGCCCGCGGCCGACATTCCCGGCGTTTCGGCTCCGCTCCTTCTGCACGTCGCCGGTTCCTCCGGAACGGCTCCGCTTGCTGTGGCTTTCTGAAGCTGGCGCGTGGATAAATAGGACAGTGACGAGTGTGTTCAGCTGACCCTCAATTATGTGTTATTACCTGAGCCCTGACAGAAATGCACATTTGCATTTAAATGACCAGTGATAACCCTCCTGGTGAGATGCAGATTGTGGCAAGTCAGTCTTAGTCATGACTATGACAAAATATTCAGTAACATCACAGTCCTACTCTCTGCTGTTTAAATAGTTGTTAATATTTACTGATCTGAATGCAGCTCACCTTTCGTTCAGTTCTCTTTTGTGTAAAAAATTTCAGTTCAGAAAAGACCCACAAACCACTGATTGCCTAAGTACTGAGTGTTCTTTGACCTTTGAAACTGAAATATTACTCAGTGATCATCATCTATTCCAAAATGCACGAAAGTAACACTGATAACCGACTCATCATTTTCAATATTTATTTATTTTTGCACACGACTGGAATACACATGCTCCTCTACTTACGAACTTTCAACTTACGAACTTTCAGACATACGAACGAAGAGGACTGTAAGTCCAAATTGTGTTCCTTGGGCTTGCATTTCCTGTCCACATCAGTTTTTTTTTCTGCGCGCCAATTCCGCCTAATACGACTTCTGGCTGCTACTCTCACCACACCAGCAGTGTAGCGTGCGAACTCCCAGCATCCTATAGTTCTTTGTACAGACGCTTCTCTACTTATGAATGAGATACGTTCTGAACGGCCGTTCGTAATTTGAAATGTTCATAAGTCATTATTCAACATCATTTTAAGGGTATACGCAAGTACAAAGAACTAGGACTGTTGTAATTCATTCTAGGTGGAATTGGCGCGCAGAAAAAAAATTTGATTTTGCGGACAGGAAACGGGAGCCCAATGAACATAATTTGGACTTACAGTCCACTTCGTTAGTATGTCTGAAAGTTCGTAAGTTGAAAGTAAGTAAAGGAGGGTCTGTACTTGCGTATACCCTTAAAATGACTTCCGAACATTTCAAGTTACGAACGGCTGTTTGGAACGTATCTCGTTCGCAAGTAGAGGAGCGTCTGTAATTGGAAAACAGAGCAATTAAATGATTAAGTAATTGTTTACTCTGGTTCCCTTATTCACTCTTTATGGACAACGCGACATATTTTGATATAAATAGATAGCATGCAGATTGTTTTTTTTGCATACGGGGCATGGCTGGAATAATTGAAAACGGAGCAATTAAATGCTTAAGTAATTGTTTAGTCTTGTTCCCTTATTGACTCTCTATTGAAAACACGACATATTTTGATATAAAAAGATGGCATGCGTAAAATCAACCGGAGGGCAAATACTTTACCATGTTGTGTACTGTTCATTTTGCGGCCGAAATTAGCGCACAACTGGTCTGAACAACATCCCATAGCCGCTTCTGTGACTATTAAGTATTGAGTAACGAAAAAGAATTCTACATTTTAAGAAACATTGTGTGACATTTCGTTAGCCAATACCATTATATAATAAAGAGACCGGATTATCCATGTCACTTTCAGCTACTTCAGTTTTTTCAACCTACTTTAAACCGAAAGGCTCCTGTGCTTGGCTGAATAGTTCAGTTCTTCTTGTGCTTTGACTAGTTTGTTTCCTTGATTGAAAGACTCATCCAACAATTTCATATTAACATTAGTGACACATACATGATTCTGGGAGACTAAACAATCAATATGCAGCAAGAACTCTGTGCTTAAATGTAATCCAGGTCCTTTTGATTGAAATGCTAGTTAACAAATCTTGTGCTAGTTGGAGATGTCCTCCCTGACATGGATTATCTGGTCATCCTATTATATAACATTAACATTATAGCCTAACCAGACTAATTATGATTCTGGTCCCAACTGGATTTTGAAAGTGTCTGTCCGATTCATGCATATCCATTAAAAACAAAACGTCCAAAACAAAACGAGCATAACGACAGCATGTAGATGGCTTTTAAAATGGAAGCGATTTGAAATCGGTGATTTTAGCCAAATGTGAATTAACACCTTCGACTGTTTGTTTATTTAAATTTCCTTAGTTTCTGCAGAAAACACTTGGCACGTGGAGACCTTAAACTCTTTTAGCGTGATTATTTTATATGTTTATAATAGGGTATTTAATGTCACGTCATGGGATCTCACCCAAAACTCAAAGGACTATTTTAGGGTAAATCGCGGAGAGGGCCCCTAGGGTCCGTAGCCTACTACAGTACAGAATCTTAAGAACAAAATCATCATATTAAATAGCCCTTTTTACTTAAGCGCACAGTTGGTTTTAGGATATGCTTACCTCACGTTAGATTATTGTACAGTAGCGCCGGCGGGATTTGCACGTCCCAGCATGCTGCGCGAGTAACTGTAAATTGCTCCTTGTTGTGTTATTGGTAATATTTCTATTTCCTGTTGTCGCGAGTGTGTGTCTTATGTGAACCCTGTTCGATCCTTACGTGTCATTGTGTAAATCACCCACCTTTGTGGGTCCAGGGTCTGACCTACTTGTGAATCCATGTTACGGTTGCTCCGATGGTCGTTGGGTGTCTCTGATAGTTCTGTTCATAAAGGAGTCTTGTTCCTTTCTGCCCGCAAGCCTTCAGCTCATTCACTGCCACTGCCACAATGCCTCGGTCTGCCAGTATTTGAACATGTCATATATGTACGGTGCCAGGTAGACACGTGTCCTGCTGACTCTGCAATTATATAAAGTTATTGATTAACTTTGTTTTTAATGCAGAGTCGCTTCAATCAAACACAAGTGTTGGGCAATGTGCACTAGTGGCTCATGCTGTCAGAGTCAAATCTCTGGTTCCGGTCAGATATGGTCACATACCCCCCTTTACTCTATTACGTGTTTTTTTTTTTGCAGCAAGCAGCGAAAATGTGTAACGGCTCCAAAATCTTTTCATGATTGCGCAGTAACAGGAGGAATCTTTACTTATTCTTAGTCGAAGGCTGTTTTTTTTCAGTGTTTCATTCTTATAATTCCACTTCATTGTTTAATGATACTTGTGAATTTCCCAGAAATAAGTACAAAGAATACACGTAGGCCTACGTGTGTTGCCGTAGGCAAATAACTACCCAGAGCCAGTTGGGTGAGACATGGATTTGCACACACTTTACTTCACTACAAATACAATCTAACTTGTATGAATGTCAGAGTCTCCCCCTGCTGGCATTACACTAATATGGCCAGATGTTACTTGTATCCATATTACATTAGTCATGCTCCGTATAACGATGTTTCAGTCAGCGTCGCACAACACATACGTCGGTGGTCCCGTAAGATTACAACGGAGCAGAAAAACTCCTATCGCCTAGTGATGTCATAACGCGTTACTGACGTGTTTTGTGGTGATGCTGGTGTAAACAAACTTACTACACAGCCAGTCCTATAAAAGTGTAGCGCATACAATTATATACAGTACATAATACTTGATGATAATAAACTGTTACTGGTTTATGTATTTACTATACAGAACATTTTATTATTAGAGCTTACTCTATCTGTTATTGTAGCCTAGGTGTACAGTAGGCTGACGACGTGTTTCTCAGAACATACCTCCATCGGGCGAGGCGTGACTATTACGTCATCAGGAAGGAGGGGGCATGAATACCCCAGCCTGGGTACCCCGGCAGATTCAGGAGGCTCAGCACTGTGTACACAGTGTGATGTTGGGGGCTCCTGCTCTGGTCCATAATTCTTCAGATTGGAAGTGCCAAACAAAGAGGTGAGGGGCGCAAAGTCACACTTTCTCAGGGGGCCTAAAATTTCTAGCTGTGACCTCGGGTCACGGAGTCCCTGCACGCCACTTCAAATATTGAAAGTAAAAGAAGCATCGGTTGCAACCTGAAACTGTTTTGTTATATTGGCTTCTAAGGTGGACAAAAGACCATGTTGTGTATATAACGGGTTTATTATAGAAAACACGGTCGTACTGGTGCCCAGGCGATCAGCAGGCCGTGTGAAAGGCAGAATGATGTGGCGCTTTCTTCAGCGTCTCCAGGAAGAACTGCTCATCCAGCAGGAAGTCCCGGTCCTGTATGGATCAGGAGGGGTTCTGTCACTCTCACTCAATCTGGCCACTCGTATGAAGTCATACAGGCAGAATCTCAGAATAGCCTTGCAGTAACATATCTGGATGTAGCTGGGGGGTGGGGGGGGTTGGGGTGGGGGTGACCACAAGAGATCCAGAACAGGAAACTAACTGCTCAGGTGTCTGCTGGAGCTCAGATGTTCAAGCACGGGTGCGTGAAACACGGCCTGGCCGGGTAATAAGTGCGACGGTGAGATGGTACCTTTTCCGCCGTGTGCCTGAGGAGAGCGAGTTTCAGGTGAAGCCCAGGAGCTGCCGTCGGGGTCAGGAGTGCTGTAGACTGGGGGGGTAATGTGGAGGGAGGCAGACCCAGCCCTGGAGACACATCTAACAGGCAGAGGGTGTGTTAGCCGGGCCAGAACCACACCGCACATAACGATATATTACAGCATGAGCGTTAACACGCTGCACTGATTGGTGGAGAGTGCGTAATTTAACAGACGGGAGGTTTCACACGTAAAGTTGCCGATATGTACGAATGAGGAAGCGGCTCTGCGTGACGGTACCTGTGACGATGGGGGCGGCAGGAAGCTGGGGGCTGACGGGGAGCCCCCGCCTCACGTGCTCCACCTCCTGGCGCTGTTCTGCTATGTGCTTCCGTCCCTGCAGGGTAACAGACTCGCCTTTTATATATAATAGCTATTTTCCTGGCTACATTTTCACAAAGTCCCCACACCCATTCCCAGGTCCACCCCACCCCCCCCTGGACTCTTGCCTGGTTCAGGAGTTGCTCCTGGCTACGCAGCCGCTCCACCTGGCTGCGGATGCTGCTCAGGCGGGTGTGGTGCTGCTCCTCCACCCGCCGCGCCTCCTGCACAGCTCTCTCTCCCTCCTCGTACCTGTCTGAGGCCAGCTACCACAAGGGGGCACTATTTCTTTCCAGTTCATTTCAAATTTTAGCCTGAATTAGTAAGACTGATTTGGGATTTATCAAAAGATTTACCGCATCATTGTGAATGTGTGTTGTTAAAATGTTAAGGGAGATTTGATAAATCCCTCAGTGCACGTGTCACAGCCCACATGGCTGTCAAGCAGCGTCACATGACCAGGAGATGGGGGTCGTTGCCGTGACGAACCTTGCTGAAGGCCTCCACCTCCTGAGCCCGTGTCTTGAGGTGCAGGGCGGCTGTGCTCAGCTTCTCCTTCTCCCTCTCCAGCTCCGCCCTCTCCTTGGCCGCCATCTCCTCACGAAGCCGCAACTCTCCTGCACGTAGCTTCAGGTCGGCGTGCTCCTGCGCGAGTGCGGGGGAGGGTGCGTGACTGCTGAATGAGAAACGCCACTCGCCAGAAAAGTATGGGGAAGGTGGTGCGACGCGGCTCAGCCCACTACCTGGGCCATGCTGACGATGGCGCCCTCGCGCTGGGCGTCCCTCTCCAGGGCCCGGCTGGCTTCCCGCGCCCCACGCTCCTGCTGCAGCTTCTCCTGCGCGTGCAGCTGCGCCCACTCGGCTGCCAGCCTCCGCCGCTCTTCCGAACAGCGCTGCATCACTGCCTGCTGCTCCTCTAGCAGGGTGCTCTGAAAGGATGCAGTAGGGGGCGAAGCGGTTAAGGTGCTGGATCTGCAGCAATCGGGAGCACGGTGCAATGCATGAGCCCCAGGCTCCACCCCCTTACACAAGCCCCACCCACCTTTGCTCTTTCCAGCTCCTCCCTCTCCATGGAGAGGCGCTGCATTAAGGTCCGCCTCTCCTCCTCCAGCCCCCTCTGGGCTGATTCTGCCTTGGCCTGTTCCGCCGACACCCTCCACCGCTCCTGACACAGGCACACATGGGCTTGACGTCACACATGTGCGTGACGCCGACACGGGATGACCTCAGGACCTCACAGGCGTCCCAAAGCACTGCCCCTACTTCAGTGACCTCTGACCTTTTCCAGCTGCCTCTGCTGCTCCGCTAGCTGCATGCCCATCTTGTCGATGACCTCCTTCAGCCGCGCACGTTCCTCAACCATGTGGCTCTGCTGCTGGTCCAGCCGTTCCTGCAGCACTTGCATAGGGAGCAGTGAATTCTAAGAGGCTGTGTTCAAACTGACCACCAGGTGGCATAGTGTTTAAGGGTCTGGAATTGTGACCAAAAAGTTAAATTCTGGGTCCTGAGCGTGACACATAACGGGCGTGGGGGTATCCAGTCACATGGCAGTGGACGTGTTTTTAACAGGAAGCAAGTCTGAGCAAGTATCTCGGTACTCGGTACCGGTACAAGATACTCGGTAGTAACCAGTAGAACTGAAGATGGCTTCAGGTGAAGCAGACGAGGCCGCGACCTGTCTTACCTCGGAGCTGCTGGTCCCTCTGCCGCGCGCCCTGCTCCAGGCCCTGTGCCGTGTGCTCATGCGTGCTCTCCACACGCGAGGACAGCTCACCCAGCCGCCGGGAGAACTGCTCCATCTGATCGATCACCACTGTCAGGGACCTGCAGGCGGACAGGGGGACTGCGTGTGTAGCTGAGGCATGCTCTGTGTGTCTGTGTGTGTGTGTGTCTGTGTGTGTGTGTGTGTCTGTGTGTGTGTCTGTGTGAGAAAGTGCAGGAGTGTCTGACCTGGTCTGAGATGTCGCGCTGGTCACAGCGTCGATCTCCTCCTCCTTCAGTTGCTTCAGCCTCTGCACCTGCTCCTCATGGTCCTTCTTCATCTCCAGGATGGATCTCCTAGCAGAGTGGGAAAGTCCAAGATGACACACGGAGTCCCCAGGCATGGCCATGCAGATAGCCCGCCGTCGGCGTCCCGGCTCCGTACCGCTGCAGTTCCCGGAGCCGCTCCACCTCGCGGTCGCGCTCCTGCTGGTTCTGGGCCAGCCGGCGCTGGTACTGCGCCTGCAGCTCGGCCTGCTCCCGCTCCGCCAGCCGGGTGACGCTGACCAGGCGCTCCGCCAGGCCCTCGCTCTCCTGCCGCATCCGCACCTCCCTCTCGGCCGCCGACTCCTCCAGCATCTTCACCCTGGACCTGTGAGCCGCTTCCATGAGCTCGGTGTCCTCACCGTGCCTCTGCCGCACACTCTCCAGCAGCATCTTCAGCTGGTCGCGTTCCAGCTGCAGGCTCCGCACCTGCCACCAGGGGGCACCATTCAACGACTGTGAAACGGCCGCATAGACAAACCCATGGGCAAGCCCCCATGGAAAACGCAGCATTCCTTACCTGGCCTTCTAGCTGGATCAAGTGGGTCTGCAGGGACAGCTCCCCCGCCTGCTGCTCCGTTCCCTTCCTCTGCAAGGCGCCCCCTGCCCCCTGCAGTGGGGACTGCAGCAACTATCAGAATCAGAACTCACATTACTGCCAGTATGTGTGAACATACCAGAATTGTTTGTAGTTCACTGCCAAACATGAAGTAGAGGACAAAAATTGCAAGACATTCAGGGAGACACTTCACAGGACACCAAGTACAAAAAACAATGAAAATACAAATAAGGGAATACAGGTTAACATTAGACACAGTGCAAGACGTCTTAAAAAGTCTAAGTGAAACATTAGAACTAATGCAAAAACCGTTTTATTGCAAGTTGAAAGGGTATTGCACATATTCTATAAAGGGAAAGTGTCTAAAAAGACAGAAAACTGAGAATGAAAAGTAAGATCTGACATCCAGCAGACTGCCTGGAATCTGATCAGGCAAAGCGTGAAACAGGTATGGCACCGTGACACATTGTCTGGGCAGAGGAGGACGGCCGGTTTAAGCAGGCTTACCTCAATGGGTGCACTGTTCCCCCCTATTATCTCTGGTGGCACTGGAAGATACAAAAAACTGCATTTACTATTACTATTCAACCAATGGGGTGATTGTTATCTTGTTCCATGAATGAACAATACCAGAGGTGGAAAGTTTTTAGGTCCAGAGAGTAGAATTCCAGACCAGCCAGCTGAATACTCTGTGACTGTGACTCTTTACACTTGATTGGTTGGTTCAGTGATGGAAAACAGGATTCCAGTTCTGTATGGGGAGTGTTCACTGCTATGACAGTGGTGGACTGTGGGGGGAGACTGGGTCCCGTATTCTTCTGGGTGAGTGAGGGTGATGCCTAGCTGGAGTCCCCGAGTCAAGCCCACTTGACCCAGAATCTAATAGGGTGAGGCTCTTTGATCTGATTGGCTCAGAGACGACCTCTTTAGGTAGAATGTCCTGCACGTGCTCTATGGGAGTCTGCACAGGGTATGGAAGCCTGTAGCGTTCACGTTCTGTGGTACTATTTGATAAAAGGGTGGCTTGGAGAAAGATTGGCACTAGCCAATTTCGTTAAGTTCACTTTAAATTCCACCCTGCTGCAAATGTATATCTCTATTTGCTGAAGTAATTGAATTCGAGGGTACATTTAGCGCAAGCAAATGACCATGAACACGGAATGGCATGATGACTGAAAAACTGCCACTGTGACAATGAGGTCTACATACCCTACACTAAAGAAATATGATGCACACTGTGCAGAAAGGCCTACACTGTAAGGTAGCTGGCTCATTGGGATGGTAATATAGATGGCAACAATTCCCAGCTACCTGTATGACTGACAGTTGGCAATGTGGACTGGTGGCTGCGTGGACCAGTGGCAATGTGGACCGGTGGCTGCGTGGACCGGTGGCTGCGTGGACCGGTGGCTGCGTGGACCGGTGGCAATGTGGACCGGTGGCTGGGTGGACCGGTGGCAATGTGGACCGGTGGCTGCGTGGACCGGTGGCTGCGTGGACCGGTGGCTGTGTGGACCGGTGGCTGGGTGGACCGGTGGCAATGTGGACCGGTGGCAATGTGGACCAGTGGCAATGTGGCTCGGTGGCTGTGTGGACCAGTGGCAATGTAGCTAGGTGGCTGCGTGGACCAGAGGCAGTGTGGACCGGTGGCAGTGTGGACCAGTGGCAATGTGGCTCGGTGGCTGCGTGGACCAGTGGCAATGTAGCTAGGTGGCTGCGTGGACCAGAGGCAGTGTGGACCGGTGGCAGTGTGGACCAGTGGCTAGCACTGTTACATCATTTTCAAAGTTTGACTCTGAGGGTGTGGACTCAGCACATTCTCTGCATATTTGGTTTTTCTATAAAGGCCAAACCGGTTTCCAAAAACATATAATTAGGCTAATTAGCACCTGCATGCCCGTAGCGCGTGCATGTGCGTAACCCGAGAGGGGAGTGTCCCGCCCCCGCCTTGTGCGCTAGGCTGCCTGGGACAGGATCCAGACCCGTCTACCACTCTATACCAGATAAACAATCGGAAGATGGGTGGATGGTTTACCAGGTTTGGGTAGGCCCTCCTTCACCGGACTTGACTGACGAGGTGGAGTGTCTTGCGTGCTTGAGGTCTCCCACGGCAACGAGGAACTGATGGGACAACAATGAGCAATCTAGATACATTCAGTTCATTCACAAAATAAGCCTGCATTTATATTTTAGGGTTGAGAGCCATGTTGTCTGATTTACAGTAGACCTCCCCATTAACTCTCGTCTCACCTCGAATCCTTGGTAGGTACAGCGTCGTCTTCTTTCCTCCTAGGAGCTGGTGGTGACCTGGGTTTACTCCTAAAAAGGGAATTGAGATTATTAGGAATCTCTCCAACAGAAGAGGGTATCTTGTATCACGTGATCTGTAATTTACTGTGGTTTTAGCTTTTCCATTTTGTCCGAATTTTTAGGTTGGACTTTGAAAGGCAACAAATACAAAGCTTGCGTTGGCCGAGCCAAGCCTACGTGAGGAGGGAGTCCAGGTCCTCCTCATCGCCGCCACCGCGAGGATGTCGGGGCACGGCCGCCTTCACGGCTGCAAGATTCTTCTTCCGGGTCAGTGCTCCTGCCAGCCAGTCTTTCGCCTCCTCGCTAGCAGGAGCGTCTGGTAGCGGAGGCTCCCCTTCAGACGCAGGATGCTCACTCCCCTGCGAGGCTCCCGTGGCTGGTGGGGCTCCCCGGCCACCCTGCGCCTCTGGATCCTCCTCCTCTTCCTCCGGATCCTGGCTGAGGCCTAGCCAATCAGCCGCGGGGTTACTGGGGCGTGAACGAAGGGGAGGGGCCAGTTTCGGTTTCCCCTCCAGCATTTGGCTGTCGTGCTGAATCGTTGGCCTACTGGCTGCCGGCTTGCTGTGGCGCTTAGCAGAGGGAGAGCCGGCGACGGGGGACCTGGGCTTCCCCTCTGGCGACCGGCTGCCAGTCTGCTCTGCTGAAAACCTGAACACGAGGGGAGAGGCGCCTGAGAAACACTCCCTTCAGCTGCAGAGGTGAGGACCTTCCAGAGTAACGCCCGTCACACCTGACTGACTGCCTTTGTGACTGCCGGCTCTCTGGTGTGGAGACCACAGTGGGCTGGTAGGAGCCAAACGTGAAGTCACCGTCCCCGAAGGCAGAGTCTGCGGAGAGATCACACACCAAGGCATTTCATCATGCAGAACCCCAACACCCCAGATGATTCAGGGCTCAACCCAGTCCTCAGGGACACACAGACAGTCCAACAAGGGCCGGCTTGGGAAACACTGACACAAGCAACCAAATAGAGCAGGATGTGAACTCCTGTAGTAAATGTTGCTACCTGTGGCAATTGCTGGCTTCTCCATATGTACTTCCTTCTTCTCGCCAGTAGGGGGGCGCTCAAGCAGGCGTGGAGATGTCCCCCGGCCCAGAATCTCATCCAGCCTGGTTGGTACCGGCTGTGGGGGCTCACTGCATGGAGGGGGGGGCAGGGATCTGCATGCATTAAACTGGCAAACCTAATGGTTAGTGGGGGGAATCCTGCTGTTATTCCCTTGAGGATGGTACTGGACATATTTCACTAAAGCACCCATCTAGGTCAATAGGTTAAATTTGTAAGTTGCTTTGAGGAAAAGCAAAGACGCAAACAAAATGTGCAGAACAGGCCCTGTAACGTACTAACTCGACAGAATGTAACAAATTCAATGGTGAAAATAATAATAATTGGATAGTGCCATATAAAACTATAATGTAGTCTATAAATGAGTAACATTTTGTTGAGTTATTACATAATGTGGTGTTATTACATAACGCCTTGTTACATGGTGTACAGCAGGTCTCTCAAACTCCAGTCCTGGGGTTTTTGGTTCACCCTCATTTAACACACCTGATTCAACCGAAGAGCTCTTTAGCTGAATCATTTGTGGTGGAACAGGGAAAGAACTAAGCTACACAGGGCTCCGACCCCCCAGGACTGGAATAAAACACATTATGTAATAACATTGCACTATGTGAAGAAAATTTGTTACATAATGGTGCATTATTACATAATGCATTGTTACAAGCCCGCACCTCAGCCTCTTGTGGGGGAGAATTCCCTCCTTCCCCTTTGGACTCTCTCCAAAGCCCAGCGCGTCCATCAGGTCATCCTCGTCCTCATCGAATGTCAGCTCGTTCTGCTTTCCGGGACCTCTGCTCCATGACGCTGCAATGGGACAAGTGGTGTTTCGGCCACCAGCTGAGTGGCGAACGACAACGGAGGTGCTCAGGAACACGGGGACCGCGGAGCCATTATCACTCACCCGTCTCTCTCGCCTTACCGACGGGGGACTCGGATACAGGCAGACCTCTCTGCTCAGGAACAGCATCGCTGACGGCCATCTTTGTTTCCTTTATATCGTCCAGGAGATCGGCCAGTGGGTCACCCGCGTCTGCAGGAAGTACACGTCCAGGCCAGATCGCAAGGGGAGGCTGCCTTACGCAGCTGTCTAAATGCAGTGTGTATCCTTACCATACCCAGAACAAAATACAACAGTCCAAAAACTATGATTTCCTTCCCCCCCAGTAATCGGACTGAAAAGCAGGATTGTAAAGGGAGAGGAGTCACATTTGAGCATCTGTTCCGCATCGTTCTACATGTAACATTCCTCAGGTACCTTTTTTGTCTGGAGATGGAACTAAAACATCCTCCTCATCTGACGCTTTGCAGAAAAATGGAATAAAAGGCCGTCGTTAATGGTGTAAGACACTGTGAAGCGTCACACTGCAGACATAACTAGACAGAGCCCAAGACCTTACGCAAGCCCAGGGTCAAGCGATGACAGCTGCCCGTTACAGACAAAAGTATCAGCAGACCAGGCCATTACACCCACAGGAACCTTTATGACGTCTCATTCTAAATCCATAGGCATCAATGTGGAGTCGTCCTTGAAAATGCCTGTGGGTTTAGAATGTGATGTCATAAAAGTACCTGTAGGTGTAATGGCCAGGTGTCCCAATGCTTTTGTCCATATAGTGTAATTAATGAGTCGATCGTATCGACCAATCGTGATCGACCACTTCACAGTATCACAGGGTTCTTCCCCCTCTCAAAATGCGACCATTGCGGAAGACAAAACCCCATGTCGGATACAGGACTGAGCCTCTGGCCAGTGACAGTGGTTTTTAATGAGCGGCGGTGGCCAAGGCGAGGCCGCGAGAGGCAGCAGAGCGGCGAGCGGCGCAGAGAGCCCTCTTACCGGTGAAGGTGAATCTCTTATAGCTGTGCGTGGCGGCAGCTGGGGCGGAGCCGGGCTTTTTGGCATCGGCGTTGGGAGAGTCTGCCAAGTACGACAGGGATAAGGGTATGGAATGGAGACATAGGAAAGGGCACCTTCAGCTCCATGGATACTTATGCAAAGGCTAATGCTCTCATGCACAGACTTTCATATGAAACGCTACAATACCGTAAAATACAGAACATCCGTCCACCCATCTTCTGTAACCACAAGGGGTCCGGAGGCGCGAAGGCAGGGAACAACCCATCACAGGGCACACTCACACACCGGTCACTCACACACCGGTCACTCACACACTGGTCACTCACACACCGGTCACTCATCATCAGGCAATTTGGCAACTCCAATTAGCCTCAGCATGTTTTTGGACTGTGGGGGGGAAACCCGAGTACCCAGATGAATCCCCACGATGACACGGGGAGAACATGCAAACTCCACACACATGGAGCCAGGGCTAAGACTCGAACCCAGGTCCCAAAGGTGTGAGGCAACAGGGTGAACCACTGCACCTTCCGTGCCGCCCCTCATACAGAATGTAATAAATAAAAATTAAAGAATAGAGGTGCTTTTGTTCCATTTACATACATTTAGTTCAGTACCACGTAGCCACCAGCAGGGGCCCGAGATGACTAACCAATCACATGTCGCGGCTCCAGTGCTCCACCCTCCACCAAACGGGCTGGGTTTTGTTTAGTTCCTCCCGCCCCTGAAGCCTTAGCGGTAGCCAGTGGGGGAGCGGAGCTCGGCTTCTTTTTTGGCGCGAAGAGGTCGGCATCCATCTCATCCATGTCCTGCGGCAAAGTGGCAGGAATAAGCAGTCAGAAGCCAGAGGGTTTGTGTCAGTGATAGGTCATCAGTGTGCTGTTACTCCATATAAGTTCACGCGCCAAACAGCTCATTGGAGCCAGGCTATAATTAAGGAGTGCGGTGTCAGACTGATCCAGCAGGTGGCACTGTGGTTAAGAAATAATGTAACGATGTTTTTTTCTGCTGCGCATGCAAATGCCTACATACCTTAATGTTCTCCAGCAGGGCTGCTGGATCAGCCTCCGACACATCAGAAGCCTGTCAGACCATGACAGCCTAATTAGTGACAGAGAAGCACCATTTTGCTCCGTACAAAGAGAGAACAGATCTAAGCACACCTCTTCGTCGCCGACCTCCTCAGCCAGCTTACTGAAGAAGTCATCATCCAGTAATGACCTGAAGAAACAAACATTTAAAAAATTGTATTTTGTTAGTCGGTTGTAAAATGCCATTTTAATTCGGTAAAATATCTTTCGTCATATTAGTTATTTATAGGACCCCACCCAGCCCACCATCCCAACGTTTTTTTTCCTCTCACCGTTTCCCACTACGGGACGTCAGGACGCCGCTCCTTCCAGCGACACGAACCGCGGGCTGAGTCCTAATCGGCGAGTCTATTAAAAATAGAGACCAAGAAAAACTATAAAGATTACCGGGATATATCTAAGACTTAACAGTCAAACATTTAATCTGCTTATTTATATGCTTACAGGATTTAGAAGAGACAGTACATACCATGGTCCCCCAACAGATCACCCAGTACATCATCGATGGAGCCTGGATTAAGGACCATGTGTTATGTACATACTGATAATCCCTAATCTATGAGGTGATTACAGCAAATCACTCACCTTTCAGTCCTTTCTTCTGTTTTAAAGTCTGCCGTTAAAAAGTACAAATGAGAAGTTAACTAAAAATTGTACGGCTACTCTATTAAATTCGTGTCTTGCACATTTCTGAGAAACAAAAACGAATCACTCACCATATAGTTAAATAACGAGGGGACAAATTTGAATCAGAGAAACTGAAGCGTCGGTCAGTCACCATGGGCAACCGGTTTATGCAAAAGACCAAAAGGGACTTCGCTTCAAGAAGTTAACGGTATATAATACACTGCCAAGTTACAAGAATGCTCTCTAAACAAAAATATCTTGACGGTTACAGTTTGTACAAATTTTCTAAGTTAAAACAAACCACTAGGACTCTCGCACCAGGAACAAGCTACACATGAACTTCCGGTTTGGGGAAAAAAACGAAAAGAATTTTGGGTACTGTAGTTCTTAAAGAAAGGCCGCTGTGGGATTTTTATTTATTACGTGTTTGTTTGTTTAAGATGTTTGTTTGATTGTCATCAAATACATATATTTATACATAAATACAAACGCTAAGTGGAGTGGAATGCTTTTATTACAAGTCACACCTAGAAATAATGGTAAACCCTGCACCCTTTTTCATTGTGATCGTCGCCAGAGGGCAGTAGCAGTTTACACATAACGATTCTCGTTAAAACACACTTGTTATATTTGACAGGAAAGTGAGCTCGCTCTCTATTTCTCACACTTTGAAATGTACTTTGCGTTCTGCAGGTTTATTTTTTCTTTCTAATAAATGCGTTTTCGATACATTTTTATTATTTTTAAGATGTTTTTTTTTAATCAAAATACAGTTCTCACGGAAAGTCTTTAGACGCTATCTTATTTCAGTAAAAATATTGCAAATTTATTGTTTTTGTAATGAAATCATTCCTTTATTCTTTAGCTTACAAAAATATATTTAACATTACAAACAATCGGTAGTTTTAAGTAAACATTCATTTCAAGTAGTAATAAATTGAAGCCTAAGTTTTAGTTGTAAAACGGCAGTTTTGAGTTAAAAGGTTCATTGATAAGCAGCATCACTGGGTGCTTTATAATTAGTAACACTTTTGCAGTAGCATAAAACACCAAACATTTGTGTGTAGCCTCTCTTTGGGAGCCGAAGACTCCAAATGCAATTAATAGGAAAATAGTAAGAACAGAACTGAATGGGTCAATCAAAAAAAAAAAAAAAAAAGAGGAAATGTCTGTGAAGGAGATATGTGGAGATGTGTTAAACATTGCTTGTCAATGGACTTTTGTTATAGAACCAATCAATCTGCAACATTGTTCCAGTATTGTCACAAATTGTATTGTCGCTGTGTATGTATATTGTCTTTATGTCGAGTTTGAAAGCAGAAGTAGACCATTCAATGGAATTGGTGGGTATCACATGGGAAAGAACAGTAATCATCCTTACAATGTGCTGTTACCTCAAAGGCGATCACTTTATATGTTATAAAGGTGTGGAAACTCGGCAATGAAACAATGATTCTGATATAATTATGCAGAACACAATGCACAGTCTCTTTTTCCTTTATGCACATTTCACCTCCTCAGGTAGATGCTTGTAGATCAGTTATTTTTGTATTTGTGAATCTTAAAATCAAATCGATTTTATATTCACACATTGCCCAAGTCAAAACTGATTTTCATTCATCTGAGCGATGCAGTTTGTTGAAAATCAAAGGGCCATTCCATGAGGCGTTCTGTGATGTTTCAGAGCTTCTTATAAAAATTTGAAATTACATTTAGTAAATTAATAATTCATATTCATACACTTGTTAAAGTGTGAAGCAAAATATGTTAATTTAAATTCTGCAGCTGCTCTGCGGTGTTAATTTATCATTTCTGTAATTTCTTTGATAATTTCTGTAATTTTTTTATAAAACTGGACAGAAGGCTCAGTAAGATAAAATCAGAATTGGATTGATATTTATATGAATTCCATGTGCTAACTTTCCCTTTGTCCGATGAACAGTATTGAAGTTATCTGTAAGGTGTGGTTCATGGTTAAATAAAGCATTACAACACCAGTCAGGGAACAGTGATGCATCATTGCGTCTCATTGGCTCCTCACTTCAGCCAATTGACATAGAGTTTCACTAGTGTGAATACTTTATTAGCCTATCACAGCGAGGGCCTCATCCCTGTTACGTCACCTGTTGGTCATGCCTCATGGTACACTCCTTCAGCAGGTGGCTGCCCGGCGATTCCGCCTCCTGGCAACGCCTGCGCTTGTGGTAATCCGCGCCCAGCGAGGCGAGAGTCCAAGACCCTGTACTTGTTCCAGACTCCTCAGGTTTCTCTTCCACAGACACTGAGGAGCTTCGACCAAGTCCAGGGACACAGACGGGCAGGGCCACACGGGGCCAGCACGCCGGATACACCTCCAAGAGATGACTCACACCAGCTGGAATGTAGAAGCTAGGGTTCAACAGGAAACTAACTGGTGACATGCTGTGCAGGCATCAGTTCTGATATGGTCTTACCTAAGCAATGTACACTGCTTATCTCCCTACTACTCATTTCATACAGTTGGGCAGTTTGCTCAAAAGCTCAAAGGGGTTTGAACCTTCATGGCTTAATTACAGCTCCCCTCTCACGTTGTGTCTCGCAATCTCGCTTCTCTGGTCACGTTCCAGATCAAACTGAAACCGCCGTGTCCTTTCCTTTAGCTGTGCCGTACCAAAGCCAAACTCATGTACAAGTAGTGGAGAGAAGAGTTACTCACCTGTGGAGCCGCGTAGAGCCCCCTCTGCCTTTTATGCTCTTGTCGTGAGAATGTGCCAGAGACTGGCAGTGACTTTAAACGGGGTACAAAGAGGAAGTAAGTGACAACTGATCCTAGGTGACTTCCTGTTCTGAGTCTGGCAAAACAATACACTTTGTCTTTATGCATGGAAAAGGAGAAGAGAGAGACACACACACACACACACTTTGGTCCCCAAGTGTGAACTATGCAACCCCCCCCCCCCACACACACACACACACACACACACACACACATACACTATCAGTATAGAGAGATTTTATGGGACATGCAAGTGCTCATGAAATATATCACACTTAAAGACTGTTTAGGCTGCAATATCTTTATTTCTCCATGACGATAGAACAATCCCCTGTCGATCCTTCCCCCAAAAACATCTTTCATTGCTTTAAAGAGTGTTTTGGACACAAATGCGCACACTGGCTCAAACACAGGGCACTGCTGGGCATGTGTAACCTAGCCAGTTATGTCACATGACATATATGCCGGAACCCGAAGCGCACAGGCTGGTGGGACAGGCACCAATTAAAAAAACAGAAGAAAAAAACTTTATTGGAACAAATTCAGCATTTAGTGGTGAATTAGGCTGGGAAGTGGCAGTGTTGTTTCCCCCAGTGCTCCCAGCATCTCAGACACAGCCGCGTTCCTGGCATTTACACACATTATAGTGTTAAAAGCAATAAGCATTGAAACATTGTGCCATCATCACTGTTGCTAAAAAGACCTTGTTAATGGCCACAGGCAAATTGTGGGGAAACTATATGTATCTACATTAGATGGTATTTACTGTTCTCAGAGGGAAATATTTGAACTAAAGTTCAAACTATAAAAAAATTAGCAATGCTATAGGTAGGCTGCATTCCAGTGCAGCTGTGTGCTAGGCATATGCATTGAAGGAAGAAGCTGACTTCCGATTATGTACCACAAACAACTGCCCATTGTCTGTTTCAGTGAGAGATCACCTGTGGTTTTATTCCTCACTTGGCTGGCTTCCCCTGTTAACGTAAATAAAAACAAAACTGCAGTTTAGTTGGTTTGCCACCAGGGGGCAGTAGAAGTCGCCACTGGCAAAGTTGGAAGTACCTGGTAGCTTCCCTCAAGAGACCCGTCTAAGTAGGAAGCGGTAACTAGCCACCTAAAATTACACAAAGTGTTTAAAATATGTTGTATATATTTTAAATGACTTGCCTATAGTTTTCAGCAGGTAACTATTGAGTCAGCAATTGAATTGAGTTTATGCATGTTGACAACTAAAATCCTCCTTAAAGTGTGAATGGCAGAGCTAGTGTGACTCAGACAGTGACGGTACACTTGAGTCAAAACCATGGGCGTCGTCAGGTTCCATCACTGCAGGCTACAAATCACAAGTGTTTCAATCCCGATGTCAGTCTTCCTTAAAAGAAAAAAAAGTCGAGCCTCAGGTTAACTTGACTTAGCCCCTGATTTTTTTCCAATAGCTAGAAACATCCTTGGTCAAAACAAATGAGTCACATCCCCTTTACTCCTGTTGGCGAGTACACATCACACTTGCGGGCTGGTACTTTACTGGGCTGCATTATGCTCCGCCAATCACACACCTGTCATCTCACATCATCAGGAGGGTGACCAGCAGTCCAACCCACGGCAGCCCCGGGCCACACACAGAGCTGGAGTCGTTGGGATTGTCCTTGTGTCTGTAAACCCCCTCTGCAGATGGTTGTTTTGAGCGGACCTCCTGTCGGATGTGGACTTCTACTTGGGATGATTTTCTACCTCTGTTAGACAAAACTATGCAGCTGTAGTTGCCCGTTTTGTGAGTCTCCAAGTTGAGCGTCAGCTGCTCCTGTGGCACATATTCGCATGGACCGGAAAGACGCTGCGAGTCATTGACTTTACACAGTTCGGTGCCATTTGGATCCAGCCAGGCCCAGTACTTGATGGTAACTGACCCAGCTGAAGAGATGTTACAGTCCAAACTGCCCGGGTCAGTCACTCGTTGAGAAGTGTGCAGTTTCATTAACTCTGCAGGAGAGCAAGGGGAAAAAATTATTCATTATTTATAACGACAACAACAACAATTCTGTTTTTCATCTCTATGTTGGTACATTTGTTGCATTGAATATTTAAATTAATTTCTTATATTCGTTAACTGGTAGTTATTCAAGCTTACAGTGCCAGTACATACAGTTTCAAATTTAAGATTAAGATTTTTTCTGTTTCTACCTGTTACCAGTAAAAAAGAAAAACAAGTGGCCATGTTCATGTCTATTTCCACATGGCGTGTTTATACATATGCATGCTTTATCTGACAGAGCACCATAAGCAGCGTGTGAAAGGTGCATTCTGTGTGCACGTCTTACCCTGAGCCTCTCCGACGGAGCACAGCAGCGCGAGGCACAGCGGTGCGATCAGAGTCTTGTGCTTCCACATCGTTGCTCGATCTGCAAAGTAACGGCACACCTCTGTCACTCAAACTCTATGCTGTAAGGGCTAGCATACCTTAAACAGTAGCCTACTTTGCCCCAGCTTGCGTCCCAGTCTTTGCATTCTGTAGGAAAGCACCAGTTAACAAGCATTTCCAGGTAAGTCTTATAGGAAACCATCTTACTTCAGTCACTTGGTCTGTCTCTTCCACGGCATTAAGCGAATCGTGCAGCAATGTATCAGTTTCCACTCTAGCTGGGATACCGTCTCACAGGGCTGGTTTAAGCTCACACTCTCCGTGTTGCCCTCTGGGATAGTCCTCATCCAACAAGCTGCGACAGGCTTCACCGCCTGCCTGCTGGGATGAATCATAAACTTTTGTTGCTTTTTTCTGGACAGAATGGCTGAGAGCAAACTCACCTCAGGCTTTCACCCCTCTGACCAAGTAAACATTGATGTGAGGATCAGCTAAATTACCGGTCAGCTAATCCAGGGTGGGGCTTTGCTTCCCATTCCTGCTTCTGTGTGTCTGCGTGTGACATTTTCTTGCTGTTTTATGTGGGGTTTGTGTGGGTCCTCCAGTTTCGTCTCACAGTTCAATGACACGCGCTTAGCTGAATGGGTGTGGAGGAGTGGGAACATTGTAATGGACTGAAATCCCACCCAGGATTGAGGCCTGGCTTCTACCGACCCTAGACCCTTTTGTACTGTCTTCAATGGAGGGGGGGGTGGGGTAATAGGGGGCTTGGCAAAATTTTCTGACCCAGGGAGGGGCGGGTTCTTGGTAAACTGCATGAAATTTGCGCGCTGGGGGCAGGAATGGGTCCCTTCTGCTCCCTACAGATCCCTCCTATTGCACCCCCCTCCCCAATTCCTGCTTGGGGAATCCTAACTACAATCCCAATGGGAGGGGCATCAGTTTCAGTATGGGTCGCAGGCAGGATGGGACAGGAGCAGGTGGGAGAGGGAATCAGATTACAGTTTTTCTCAAATGCTAAAATACATTTCACAAACGTTTCCTCCATGTTCCCCAATGTCTAAACACAACACCCTTTTCTAAAGCTATATAAACACAACCACACCTTCTCACTTCAAAACTCAAACTTTCACACCAAAAGAGCAGCTCGAAGCTTTCAAAAATGTAAACACTATACACATCATTACACACTACAGCAAAACAATTGAAAACAATTGAAAAAAGTAAGAACTGAACTGGGAAAGAAAGCCTTCAGGTTTTCAGCACCTTACACATGGAACAGACTTCAAGTTGAACTCCGTCTGCACAACTTAATACCCCTGAAGGAACTTATTATTATTATTTTTTTCCCTCCTCCACCCCCCCTCTGCGGAGGACTACTTTATTTGTATTTATTTATTTTATATTTTTATTTAGTTCCTCAAAAGAAGGAGAGGGAGGGGGGGGGGAACAAAGGAGAAGAAGGGGGGAAGAGAGAGAGAGGGAGAGAGAGGAAAAGAAAAAAGAAAGAAAAAAGAAGACAAAAGAAAAAAAAACAAAAAAACAAAACAGATAATCTGCTTCCATGTCTGCTGAAAAGAGAAAGACAACATACAACATCTGTACTAATCACAACGACCATCAAACGTTAAATGTTGTTGAACAGGACACGCAACCCGCATTACAACACATGCCCAGAAGCAACAGCCGATCAAGACAGTGTGTGTCCGGGAGCAGGTGTCTGTGAGCACCTGTGTGTACACCTGTGTGTGTCAGCGCGCTGGTGTTCCTAAGGTTCCTCCATGTAACTGTCTAGTAGTGTGTGTGGGGAGCCACAGCCCCGCCCACCCAGGACATGAAGCCGACACGGAGGAGACCCGGGCCCCAGACATCCAGAGGCCCCCCAGGGCACGGGAACCCCAGGAGGACCACCGCAGGGACAATTGCAGCCCCCACCCAGAAAAGGGCAGAGGAGCGCTCCGGAGGGGGGCCATCCGGCAGCCACATCGTAGGAGCCCCAGGGGGCCGTGGCGGCGAGCATGCAGGCTCCGTCGGCGGCCGGCCACACCAGGGCAGACCGGACCCCGGGCCCAGAGGTCCAAGTGCCCCCCCACCCCCCAGCCGGGACACGACAGAGCCGGAAGGGCCAGGCCCCGACAGGCAACCGCCGAGAGTGAGTCAGCACACAGCAGAGCATCCAGCCCCGGACATCGAGAACCACCAACTCATCGGCAGCCGGGGGCCTCATCCACCAGCAGGGAGTGTGGTGGGGGGCAATAGAGCCTGAGATGTTATTTCAGGTGGAGTCTAAGACCCAACCTGACACCTGCTTATAGACAAACAGGCGCACACATACACAAGCATACGTTCCCACCCTCATGCACACATAATCAAATATTCACCCATTCGCCCAACATAAAGACACACACTCACACTCCCCATATATACTCTATGCTCCGAGATCCAGGCATCACCACCCCCAGAGGGGCAATCTGCCACCAGACCCCG